TTTCTTTCTTTCTTTCTTTCTTTCTTTCTTTCTTTCTTTCTTTCTTTCTTTCTTTCTTTCTTTCTTTCTTTCTTTCTTTCTTTCTTTCTTTCGCTGAAGTGTTGAACTTGTAAACCAATGTTACAATGAACGTTAACAAATGTTCAGCTTTAGGTGTTTTTTAAAAATGAAAATTCCTCTCAAATTATCAAAATGCACACAGGAAGGTTGTTGGTAAGTAACTCTTAAAACCTGGTGAGTTTGAGAGTAAAAGAAATTAATAAAGTGAATTGTTGTTATTTTTTTTACACATATGTGTTGATTCCAAATATTTTAAGCTTTTTACCACTTGGAGGTTTGTTTCCTGAGAACGTGAAAGAATTCAGGTCAAGTATTGGAAAGATGGAATTTGTATACTCTTTATTCTATTATCTACACTTTGCTGGCTTATTTGTACAAAACAAAACAGAAAGATAACAGGTTGAAACACAGGAGCAGAACTGCATATTACAGAAAGAGGTGGCGGTAAAGCCAAAAAGCCCAAGAGGGAAATAACTAAGACAGCAATAAATTTAGACTTAATTTAAGGATGGATTTCTTTCTTATAACACTTCCTTGTAGACCTGTCTGAGCACCATGCCTCCTTCAAGCTCTCCAGCTACTGTTTCATATACGTACCATATAAGCTGATGTGCAGTTTATGTGAAAAGCTTCAGTAATGACTTTGTCATGACTTTCACAGCTTCTCTTGACTGCCATTTGTCAGGGATGGTTCAGAGAGTTGAAATAGCAAGCCGGAAGTACTTTAATATCTTTTTATGACGTTTGCCTCTTTTAGAAACATCAGTAAACTTTATTTTCAGACCCCAGGGTGGTTGTTGGGTACCATCAGTGTTTGAGGAGACAGAAAACTAATCATCTGGAATGTCATCAGCTGATAATGATCCATGAAAGTCCTGAAACGTTAACAAAGGATTCCCAGTTCCAGTAATAGTGCACTAACGTTTAAAGAAAGGCTCATTTTGGCTCAGTCATCAAACTATTTCCTAAATATGTCCAAATATTTGCTTCCAGCTTAACATGCACACAAACATGTTGTGAACACAAAGAGGAATAACGAGGATCCCAGCGTCTCTGCTGACCTCTGTTGGTGGTGACTTGGAAATGCAAGCAACTGGAAAATATCTCTAAAAATACCCACTTAAATCTCCCTTTGTGAGACAGTCACACCAATTGTCTTCAGTCTTTCCTACAAAATGTTAATGAATGAGTGATTAATGAGTACACAACCAATCTAATTAACTGAGTTATACAGTTAAATCTATAATTTGTTGGATAAATACACAATTGTGTAGTTTTGTCTGTACAGACTTTAGAGTAACTGATCAGGAATTGGACTCATTTTATACACAGAGCAATATTTTCAGATCCTCAAAACTAATTAGACAACCAATCGACAGGCAGTTTCAGGTGAGGCCTCTTTCTTCATTTCAAACAAATAAAGTAAACATGATGTTTGAGCTTGATTCAAAGTGCTGAGTTTAGAGTGTAAAGCTTTTCTCCGTGATTTTAAATATGAGGATCAAAGAGAGACAAAAACAACATCTACTGCTGAGGAGGTCGGCATGTCATCATCTTGAGTTCACAACAAGGTGCAAACCACTGATTAAGTTCAAGAACAGGAAGGACAGGTAAGATAAGACAGAGATTAGCCACCTCATCACATTTTCCAATCATAGGACAGACCTCGACAATAAATCAAGTCAATCTGACATACTGTCTGACCGTATGTGTGTTTTATTCTTCATATCTACAATTTGATGTGTAAGTGTAGTTATTACCAGAGTCTAACTACTATTATATCATCCACGCAGCAAGATCTGGGCTTATTCTTCTATTTTGAGTTGGCTGTTATCCATCCACACTAGGAATGGGAAACCTTTAATTTCGGTGTCTATGTGACATGGTGTACTCGAAAACAATCAGTGATGGAGAGGAAAGGAACAAAAACAGGATGAAAAAACAAAAGAAAACACATGTGAAGTCAAAGGAGCTTGCAAAGAAAGGCGTCTGGACTTCTTTAAGTTGCTTGAAGACGTTTCACCTCTCATCCAAGAAGCTTCTTCAGTTCTAAGGTCAAATGGTGGAGAGTCCCAGATATAAGCCTAGTGGGAGTGACCCCCCACAGAGGGGAAAATGACCCCCTCATGATCCTCTAATCGCCTGAGCCAAGGTGTGAAACTGGGCGTGGGTCCCAATCAGCCAGAGTTTCGGGTGTGTTCATTGTGAAACCTGGCCCCACCTTATCATGCGAATTCCTGAGGTCAGATGGCCCAGGATGTGAGTGGGCGTTAAGGCGTCTGGGAAGGATCTCAAAACTGGATTATAGGTGGCAGAGAGTTGGTGTCGTAAACATGTGAACTCAAATCCATCCAAATATAAAAGGAATAAACTAAAGAAAAAGATGACATCAGCAGCTTAAAAGCATAGATGTTAAAGATAAACTGCAGTCACTATGTATTGTATGTATAATCAACTAATGATGATCACAGTGTTGGCACTGTTTCATGGGGGTTTGTATTGCTTTATAAATATTACAGTATGGAAAAGAAATTTATATAACATAGAAAAAAGTTAATTTATAATAAGTATAAAATAAAACAGGAATTTTAAAATATTTTTTTCTTATTTAAGAAATATGAAAATCTTACATATATTTCTATATAAATTTTAAACTAGAAATAATAAAAGGCTAAAACCTCAAAATAGCCAATATAAATAAATAAACGCAACCACATAATATTGAAGTTAGATTGTGAAAACTGATCTGACAAACGGTCCCTGAAAGCATCACTCGATTATAACAACCTATTCCTTTTCTTCTTCGTTTTTTTTTCTTTTGAAAAACACCATAAACTGGAATGAAGATATGTACAAAGAAGAAAATGCCACTGATATCGGATAAAATAGATAACATCGATTTAATAATATTTAATGTTTAATTAAAGAGTAAAGTTTGACTTGAGAACTTCCGGAGCGGTCAGTTCCTTAGTAACAAGGACAGTAGCCAAACGGTTTGTTTGCAGTTATCGTTTTCTGCTTAAACTAGTTAAATAACTAATAAAACCGGAAAATACACAGGAGAAAAAGCAAGCACAGCAGATAAAATGGCTTCCGATAAAGAAATGGTCTCATATTTGAAACAAATTCGATATCTAGAGGAGCAGCTGGATAGGTAAGTCTATTTCTCTTTAACTTTATCGAAATAAATCCGTAAGAGTTCATTTATACAGTGAAATATGAGTGTAATTGTATCTTTCTTTCCCACTTTTAACATATTAATGTTAATCTTATCAAAAACACTTTGAGCTTTTCCCTTCAGTGTTGTCTACTTGCCTAACCTAAATCTCGAAATTTAGATTATTGGGAAGCAAATAGTGTAGTATGCAAATAAAATTGAGAGAATACTATATTTACGTTAAATATAACAGAGAATTAATTTAAAGTGCAGTACCAGGCAACAGTCTTGAGGCACCGCCCCCATTTCTTTAAGTTTTGCCTTCAAGGAGCCAGTTCTCCTTGTAAATGTTTTTAAAGCGGCCTTGAGCAACAATTAAGTGAACAAGTGAATGCAATGATGCACACTGTATGTATAACAAAGGTCAAACTAGATTCTTGACTCTAATCCCTGAGCCTGCCGTGTCCCTCTTCAACCTGCAGCTGTCGGCCTAAACAAGAGCAGATGGAGAAAGAATACCAGGAGCTCGTCTCTGAATTCGCCGTGCTGCAGGAGGACTCAAAAATCCAGACTGGTCACCTGAAACGCATCCTGACTGCAAAAGAAAAGAAGGTGACTGAGTTGTTGGAACAGCTGGAGAATGAGCATCAGGAAGCCAAACGCTACAGAGACAACCTGATGCTGCAGCACAGCAAGGAGATGCAGGAGATGCATGAGCGGATTGAAAAGCTCAAGTCAGAGAACAAGATAGACGGTGAGAACATTTTGACAGCAGCACCAATAAGAAAAAAGCAAATTATCAATGAGACCAAAAAAATGATTTGATATTCTTACAAATTAATTCTTCAGTACCTGAAAACAGGACGGGAAGCACATCAGAGCACTTCCTGGGTTTACACTGTTGTTGTTTGAGGAGCTCTTTGAAAAGGGAAAGATAACCATGTGCACTCATCAGCCACATTATTAGGTACACATCTGCAGCTGCTTTTTAACACAAATATCTAATCAGTCACTCGCATGGAGGTGACTCAGTGCATTTAGTATTCACTGATTTGTTGTTGCGATGTCAGAATGATTAACTCTAGTTCAGACTCTCTCCACACAGTAAGCAGACTTTTCCACACACTCCGTGAGGCGTCATCTAACCATCATGGCCAAGATGACCGACTGAAAATCAAACCGAGCACATAAATGGGGAACAAAGGGGATTTAAGTGACTTTGAATGTGGCGTGGCTGTTGGTGCCAGGTGATCTGGTCCCAGTATTTCAGAAACCGCTGATGTCCTGGGATTTTCCCCACACAGCTAATACTAGGGTTTACGGAGGATCGGCTAAAAAGGGAAAATATCCAGTGAATTCTCTGGGAGAAAATGCCATGTTGAGCTGATAATAAGGCAAAAGTAACTCAAATAACTACTCAGCAGAACCGAGGTATGCAGAGGAGCATCTCTGAATGCACAGAACTTTGATGATAGCAGATGAGCTACAGTTGAGTCCATGCCACGAAGAATTAAGGCATCGCTTAAGGCAAGAGGAGTTTAATCCGAGTACTAGCAAGGTGTAACTAATGAAATGGCCGGTGTGTGCATGTACAAACGTTGGATACCTATAGATGCAGTAACTTAGTAAAGAGCTGTTTACAGTGTGATGTCAAATAGAGAAATTTAGAATAAAAATAAAATGTAAGAAGCAGTGAGGACAGTGTGGTCACAGTCCCCACTGAACAGGTGGTGCTTACACACTGTTTCAAACACCTTCGAGTGGAGCGTCATCTCTTCGCTAGCTCAGGGAGACATATTTCATTACGTCATTAAATCCCAAACCTTAGAAACGACTAAAAATAGCACTATTGTTTAAAAATGAGCCACAGGCTTAGTTTCAGAATCAACTTTTTAGATTTCCTTACCTGGATTACCCAGCATGCATCAATAATCTCTTTGCTACCTGTACACTTCTCTCCTCCCCTCAGTGAAAAAGTTGGAGCAGCAGAAGAAGGACCTGATTTCAGTGAACTGGCGTCTGTCTGCCATGGAGTCTCTGTGGAAGCAGCTGGAAAAACAGAAGGAAGAGCATGACATTGCCACCAAAACAGTGAAGGTGGCAGAACAGGTGGAGATGGACAGGTGAAGTCCAGTCAGGATCTCACTGTTTCTTCACAACAAGCAATAAATATTCATCCATTATTCTCTCTCGTCCACTCACCAGGAAAGTTGAGCGATTGCAGAGCATCGTGGAGCCTACTGTAAAGCTGAAGACTGAAAAAATACTTACGAAAAACAGGGCTGAGCACGAGGAGCGGCTGGAGCAGCTCCACTTTCTGAAGAGTGAGCTGGTGCCCCTGCAGGAGGACGTAGACGCCATGCAAGCCAGACAGAGGGATCTTTGTTCTGAACGAGATGAACTGGAGAAAGATTTCATTAAGATTATTCAGCAGAAATCCATCCTCAAGAAGGTGAGAGGACAGCTGTTCGTGACAGTAATGTCACCTCACTAAGACACTGGATGTTTCATATTAAAGCGCCTTCCAAGTGTTCTCAGGAACTGCGGACAGCTCACAGCAGCTTTCCCGAACGGGTTTGAGACTGAAAGTTTATATAAATCTACTCAGTTTCAGTTTTTTTAAAAAAGACAGTCAACTGATGAGAGTGATTTTAAGTTGGACTGAAAAAACAAACTTATACCTATCATTCAAAGTCGCTGCTTCCCAAGAAGTTAGCAGTATTTTTGAGATTTTTGAGAATTCGCAGTATTTTTTATTACATTTTTTTCTCTACATCAAATAAGAAATGAACAGCGCATGTCTTCCATTTCCTGTGAGGACCAAGCACTGGTCTCAGTGTTTTGCACTTACACATATACTTAAAGATATCTGTTTTAGTGTCGAAGGTCAAACCCAAGAAGAAGATGGAAACTTGATGTTTTATCTGATAGGATGTATGAAATCATTACGTTTGCAGCTTCTGCAACGAGAACGCCTGAAATATATAAGCTCCCAGCATTGAGCTTGATATTGTTTATGACTATGAAATAAAAGTAACATTAAATATCATTAATTAAAGCACAATTATCACTAAAATCATTCACTGTCTTCCATTTTTCAGAACGTACATGAGCTAAGAGAGCAGTGCCAGCAGTTGACTACAGAGCTGAAGGACTGTACGCTGGATAAGCTGCGCACACTGGCTAAAATCAAGACTCTCGGGTAGAAGACAAATGTCTTTTTAAATGTCCACAGAACAGGATCAGACACATATTTATTTTAGTACCAACTGACAGACTTACATTAAAAGAAAAGATTCAGGCTATTAAACACATTTTCAGCTCATCTCTCGTCACACATTTAAACTGAGCTACGCTCTAACCGAGTGTTTAACCGTTGTTTTCAGCCAGAGTCTGTCTTTAGTGCACGAGGAGTGCCGTCAAAAATCAGCCAGGATAACTTCACTCTCAGACCAGATCCAGAAAGTCAGGTGCAAGAATTTGAAGCTGGAGGGTGTCAAGCAGGAAGCAGCCATCATTCTCGGACACATCCTGTCGGTAAAACACAGTCAGGGTATCAGTGCCGCTGTTTTAGTGCCCCTGGAAACTCAAACTCTGGATATGTGTGGCAGCTGCAGGGCAGGAAAATATTGGTTACTGTCCACGAGAGCTGCGTTTGTTCAAGAGAAGGCAAACATCCCATTTATATTCTTAACACACGCATCAAGTGGTGCAAGAGTTATAGACAAAGTAAAGATTTATATTCAGAACTTATAATATTTTCTTTATTTTCAGAGTATTTGTTTGTAAATTAAAGACAGATGTCACGAAGACAACAAATGATGGTTTCTTTAAAAACATTTGAATTTGCAGTGTTTCTTTTGAAAGGTTGGAGAATGTCATGTTTAAAGGTAAGTTTAAAACGTCAAGTTGTCTTCTTGCCTCCCAGAGGAGAAAAGTAATAATAATAATGGACTGGATTTATATAGCGCTTTTCAAGGCACCCAAAGCGCTTTACAACACCACTATTCATTCACTCTCGCATTCACACACTGGTGAAGGCAAGCTACGGTCGTAGCCACAGTTGCCCTGGGGCAGACTGACAGAAGCAAGGCTGCCATATCGCGCCATCAGCCCCTCTGGCCAACACTAGTAGGGTAAAGTGTCTTGCCCAAGGACACAACGACCAGGACAGAGAGCCCAGGGATCAAACCGGTGACCTTTCGGTTACAGATATGCTTCCCAACCCCCTGAGCCACAGTCAAACAGAAAAATATCAAACATTATCTTAAAAACGCACAAGACATGGTTAGACTTTAGTAAGAGCTGAAATACAGCAGTAAAAATGGAGTAAAACCTACAGTTAGAAGAAAAAAATGAACTATATTTATAAGCTCATGCTTACTCACTTGTACCTGCACCTCCTTCCTGATTTAATGCATTAGCATATCCACTACTGAGAAGGATTAACTATAATCTGTTAGATTCTCACAAATGTACTGGGTAGTCGTTTTAAGAATATTTAATATTCAACTAGATCAGATATTTGAGTAAAACTTTCTCTATGCCTCTGTCCACTGAGATGTCTGTCAGTCATTATCAAAGCTTTGCATTTTCTGTCATCTGCAGGATGCAGAGAAGTCGTCTGAGAATCAGTGGAAGGTGCAGAGGCTGCTGGAGATCCTGGATAGCACCGCCGTGCTCTGAAGATGACCTCTGGCCTCATGCCAGTCAGGTACTGGAACCGCTCTTCACTGGATTGTGTGTCATACTCTCATGACTTGTGAAAACAACAGTGCGGACTCTGCTGGGAGCTGATCTCTTGTTTTCATTGAAGCTGTTTCCTCTCAGCAGCTCAGTGAGCTGGATCAGAGCCCTGCGAGGCCCGAGTCCTAACAGAGCCAGAATGGCTGTTAACACTTCTCATCAAAGTAGCTGAACAACAATGCATTCCTCACTAAATGAGGCTTCAAGTTTAACACACAGTAGAGTAAGTCAGTGTCCTGGGCCTCAAACGTTCTGCCCTTTCTGCATGAATGCCAGATATTTAGAAAAATAGTTCAGCACCTAAATTATTTTCCTTTAAATAACAATAAAGAGTGAAGGAAGAAGAACGAAAAGATGGGGCTATTTTATGGGTTGATCTCACTTAGAAGTGAATCTGCAGATGTTAAAAGACGACTGCAGACAAACCAAAGACCACTGAGTGGTAATATTACTTTGATGAATGTGGAAATAAGCAGCTGTTTGCTAACAAATTCCTCCTTCCAGTTTTATAACATGATACTTCTAATGTGGCCTTCCTAGTGTGTGCTGCACATATTTTGCATTTTTCTTTGACAAATAGTCAAAATGTGTTTTAGTCTCTGTAAACGTAAGGTGTTAACGTTCAGCAAAGAATCTCAAGGTAGTAAATGTAACATTCCTAATCTTGTCCTGTTTATGTGTGCAGCGTGTAAAATCTGTTTCTCCCTCAGGAATCAGACACAGGAGCTTCTGCAGAAAGCTGAACAAAATCCTGTCAAAAGTGAGGAAGAAAAAGTGGTTATGAGTCCGTCACCTGTGTGAAAATAAACATCTCTTTAAGACTGTTCTGGTACTATTGCAAATGATCACCGTTGTTTTGCTGCAGAACATTTACATTTACAGAAAGTTATGCGGGCGGTGTGGCGGCGTGGTGGTTTGCACTGTTGCCTCACAGCAAGAAGGTCCTCAGTTTGACTCCACAGTTTGGCTGGGGACTTTATGTGTGGAGGTTTGCATGTTCTCCTTGTGTTTATGATGGTTCTCTCCAGGTACTCTGGTTTCCTCCCACAGTCCGAAGACAACAATTAGTTGGGGTAGGTTACTTGGTGATTCTAAATTGTCCTCTAGTTTCAATCCCCACATGAAGCTGATAAGAGGATGGATGGATGTTCTTTTGAGTTCCCAACCATGAGTTGGTTTTTAGAGAGAAGAAAATTCCCATGTTGTCCTTTCCTGGGACTCCTCCATGCAAAACGGCTTATAGATGCGTGACAACTGTGGGCTTATTAAGGCTGCTTAAACAGCCCGCTCCATATGACATCTCCCAGTGGTTATGTAGAAACCGTTAGCTGATGTGGCTAGCTTTGAGATCAGCTGATTTACCAGGAATGCTGCTGAGCTTTACTTTACAACCTTCTTGAGCCATAAATCACAATTAGCTTAATCAGTGGAGTTAAAGTTGTATACCTCATGGGTGATTTGTTCCAGCAGTTTATTTCAGTGAGTGGTTGCACAGAAAAGTGTTAAATCCAAATCTTCTAGCTTGAAGTTGTGTCAGGAACTTCAGTCGTAGGAAAACGGCTGGTATTATTATATAGTTGCTGCCCTGAAAATGTGCATCTGATTGCAAGCACCAGTAGGTAAAAGTGATAATCTCAGCATTTTTAAAAAATGGTGGCAAAGCTAAGCTCAGCTCACTCTGTCACAGTGACCTTCTGCTTTGAATAGCTGGCACCACTTAAAAGTCAGTGAGGTGTAGTGGAAGGAGAGGTGGAGTTCTGGACAGATAGAAGAGGAGTGAGAAAACAGAGGAAGGTCGGTGGAGACAAAACCTCTGCAGCCTTCACTCTCCGACATGATAGAGCTCTATCTCGACCTGATCTCGCCACCCTGCCGCGCCGTCTTCCTGTTTGCCAAAGCGCTCGGGATTCCCTTTGAGTTCAAGTATGTCGACCTGATTGCAGGTAATCTCACAGCAGCTCACTTTCTGCAGTAAAATGGTAATTATTATTTACAGTTTGGAGATTAGCAGAATGCTACTGAACTTGGAAGTTTGCAGCTCTGCAACTCTACGCAGAGACTCTTCAAGAGTTCAGGGGACTAAAATGTCCTGCATGCTTTTTCATTTGTACTGTTACCATTAACAATAACAAAAATGCTCCTTTGGGCTGCTTTTCTTTTTCACATTTCACCCAGAAAGCTAGATTTACATTAAGTCTTGATGCACAACTTTTCCTTTCCTGACTGTGTATAATGGAGACGTGCTGGGGAAAGAAAATAAAGAAAACTGTTTCAAAGCAGATACAAAGAAGAAAAAGGGGGATTATGAGTCATTAAAACCACTGGAATTGAGACCAGTTTGACATTTTTGTCTTTATTATTTCTGCGTTCTCCACATGATGGAAACATGCCAACACAAAAAACTTCAGCACGCCTGTGAATTTCACGTGTTTGTGTCAGGGCAGCAGTACAGCAGTGAGTTTGGGAAACTCAACATCGTGGCGAAGATTCCTGTCATGAAGGATGGAGGCTTCACCCTGTCAGAGAGGTACAGCAGGCGTCGAGTTTCCGCTTAGCTTTGTTTCAAATAGTTTGATTCTTTTTCAAGCTGCTGCCTGAAGCTGCTTTGGGAGTCTGGTCGGTTCATTTGTTCACAGTAAGTTACTAATGATGAAGATCTAATGGTTTAATGCTGCTGTTAGTACTATTAACACTTAATAGTGCTATTATCAGAAAAACAGTAATGGATGATTCTGCAGTTAATTGAACAAAATGACCATCCAGCCACTCTGCGCTTCAGTTTTAGCAGAGTTTCTGTCACATTTCCTGTCGTTAAAGCATCATTAGTTTCTGTTCTGTCTTGTCTTGCAGTACTGCAATCCTGAAGTACCTTGTGCAGAAATACTCAGGGTCAGTGGCAGATCACTGGTTTCCTGCCGGCCTGCAGCAGCTCGTGCCAATGAATACTTGTGCTGGCAGCACGCGAACCTCAGAGGTCACTGTCAAAAGGTCTTCCTGCTCAGGGTTCGTGTCCCAGTTTGACCAAGTGCTGCGTCCTCACATGACACGTTTCATCAGCTCATTTGCTCGATTAGTTCTTATCTGTAGCTGATTTTATAAGGTATATAATACTTAATATCCTTCTTCTCCTACTATTAATGTTGCTACAGTCATGTTAGCAGCTCTGTGAAGCTCTCCTTAAGCCCAACTGTTCTCTGAGGTTACAATAGAATAGAACAGAATACAATGGAATGGAATAGAGTAGAATAACCCTTTATTATCATTGTACACGTAAAATGAATTTGTGTGTGCTCCACACCAACTGTGCTGAAATAAAATATAAATAATAGTCAGGAGAATAATATACAAAATATATACAAAAACAATAGAAAGGTACACATTAGAGAACAAAAGATAACGTACTCATATAATTCCTTAATATGTTTGTGTTTTATGTTGTCAAATTTTGACCATGCTAACAAATACCTACTGGTCTTCCGGCCACTATAAGCTGCCACGCTGGATCCGTACTGCTGCTTACTGATCTTTGTGTGTCTGTTTGAGTAGACTCTGTTTCCGGTCATCATGGGTCTTGAAGTCCCGGAGGTGACCATGGATGCTGCTCTTGAAAATATGAAGCAGTCGCTCAACCTGTTGGAGGAGAAATTCCTCCAGAACAAACAGTTCATCCTCGGGGACAAAATCTCTGTGGCAGATGTGGTGGCTGTAGTGGAGATCATGCAGGTACCACAGCTTCTGTCATTACTTCTATTTGTGTTTCTTGATTAAGTTATATTCTTGGATTTGTGGTTTTTCATGGTTTGGATTTGAATTCCTGGTCTTTAGGTTTCTGTCTCTGTGCCTCTCCTGTGTTCCTTGCGTCCTAGTCAAGTTATGTTTTCATGTCTGTGCTTCTCCTTATTTCAGTGTCAAATCCGTGTCTCTGCGCCCGTCTCGTGTTTCCTGTTTTACTTTGACAGTCTCGCGTCCTTTGTTAATGTTTTCAGTTTTTCTTCCTCCCCGTCTCGTTATGTTTGATTACTCCCAGCGGTGTCTCTTTCCCTCATTACTCCCTTGTGTATTTAAGCCCTGTGTTTTCCTTTGCCTGTTGTCGTGTTGTTCCATGTGCTGTAGGTGTCTCAGTTTTTCTGGTTTCTGTCATTCTTAGTTCTGTGATCCTCATTTCCTAGTGTTTAGTTCTTAGTTTCCATGTTCAGGGTTTTGGTTTGTTTTTTTGTACGTTTATTTTGTGGAGGATTTTTCCAGCAAATAAAGCTGCTGTTTACATTCCATGGATCCCTGATCCTGCATGCCACACAGCCACACATGACACCTTATTTCTCCCACATTTTCAGCCCAAGATGTCAGAGTTGTTTTTGTTGATGGCTACATGCTCAAAAGCTACATTTTAGGATCTAAATTATGTAAATAGGAACAAAAAGGTTTGAATTTTTGAACAGGAATAGATCCCACATACCAATAACTGCTTTTCTCAATGTGTGTTTTACAGCCTCTTGGAACTGGTGTAGATGGGTTTGAAGGCCGTCCGAAGCCGATTGCTTGGAGAGGGTGAGTGAAGGAGGAGCTCGGTGAGGAGCTGATGGACGACGCTCACAAAGCGCTCATGCAGTTGAGCGGCTTGCCAGAGAAGCTGAAGAGCAGCAGCGAGTTTCAAGTTCAAACTGAGACTTCAGAGGTTCTTCAACTGAGGAGGTTTACGTGTACAAACAGACACAATAAATCTTTGACTGCCTGTTGTGTTGCATCTTAAAGTTTACTGCTGTATTTCTTTCATACATGAAGAAAACACGGGGAGGATTCTCTGTTTTGATTGATGAAATGGGTGAAAAACTGTGTATAACAAAGCCAGTGGTTAACACATTGTAGAGGGAAAAGAAAAGAAACTTGTATGTAGTAGTACAGCACACTCTCCCTGAAAATGACAGCACCATCAAGCAATGCAAGTTCATAACTTAATTGATCATTTACTGTAAATTTGACCATCTGTGATTTCTTAAGATAAATCTATTTTGGAGTCTGATGGCTCGTTATGGATGGCTGGACATGTTCTCTGCAAAGAAACTTCAAAATAATTATAACTTTGTCTATAAAGCATTTTTAAAATATGCATCCCGTCGCCCTGTTTCCATTCTCCTATGCAAACAGGGCAACAGCACAAACTGACACTCCTAAGATAGCCTATTAATCAACAATATTGCAAGACTTAAGGGATTACTGGTGAAAAAAGTTACAGAAAAACTTTATATATTTTATATTTTTTTTTCAGTAGGCAACTGAAAACCAATCAACACCACGAAAATGGACCATATGACACGAGTCATCAAATCGCTGCGATGGCTCCCTGTGTATAAAAGGAGAGATTTAAAAGTCGTGCTAATAGTTTTACAGGCCATCAGGAACAGGCTTAGGACGAAGCAAAGCCAAACTGCATTTAGTGTTCATGCTCCCCAGATGTGGAAAAACCCTTCACACCTGATGTGTGTGGAATCTGCTAGCTCATTGAAGTAAGGGCTAAAAATGTTGTTTCCTGCAACTTTCAGGTGATTTTTAACTTGCATTAATCATTAAGACAAAAAAACAATATTCTGTGTGTGTTTAACCTCCTAAGACCTGAACTCTTTGATGCCTTTTTAATTTCTCTTTGCTATTTGGGCTGATTGGGACCTGATGAATGTAAAGACAAAGAATTATGTTTTTACCTGATGTAGTCTCTGAGAAGAGTATATCAGGCAGGCCCTTGTAGAGCAAAATGTAGTATTGTGGTCTTTTATTTTTTTAAACTTAGACAAAACAGACTACTGCCCACTGCATTTAGTTGATCCTATCACTCTT